GCTGCCCGATCTCCTGTGCCCTGGAGCCCCCCTCCCTCACCGTCCTGAGCTGCACTAGCTTACTTCCTAAGAAGGCACTTTGGGCGTGGCTTCCCCCGACTGCCACCAAGGTCACCTCGCCATGCCGGTCCTGGGGGGGAAGGTGCCCTCCCCGACTGAGAACAAGAACTCGGTCCTGTTCCTGTCCCGCTGCCTCCTGGACCAAGCAGGGCCTTGTCTCCGGTGACTGTTGGTGAGACAAGTGGAGGGACCACTCCCAGAACCTCACTCCCTCCTCCCTGACTCCCCGGACTACCTAGCAGACAAAGGGACAGTGGGACAGACAGCCACGGCCCCATCGGCTCCACTGCTCTCGGGCCTTTCTTCCCATTTTTGCCTCCTGTCATTTTAAACCAGTGCACTTGGGCGAGATGGATGACGTCCCCTTGGAAGGGACACACTGCCTGTCCTTTCCAGATTCATATTTTGGAGCCTGCGACAGAACACCTGGTGTGGCGGGTTTCCCTGTCTCGCTTCTCATCTGTGGTTTCCCAGGTAGAGCCGACAAGGACAGATCACAGTCTCAGCATCAACGGCCCCACGTCTCTTCCTTTAATTTCCGAGTCACAGAAAACCAGGCGCTTCTGCTCAGCCCCGAAGGCAGGGGCGGCGGGGAGACCCACTTCCCCGGGCGCCCAGGTGCACTTCACACCACTTAAAAGATTCTGCCCAAGCCGCCAGCAGGGTGTTACGGAGCCTTTCCCGAAAATGGATCAAAAACACTCTGTAACGAACGTAGGAGCCCCTTTCCAAAAGGCCAGCATCCAACACAACCCCCGTCCTGAGCCATCCACACTCAGACAGCCCAGGCAGGCGGGCAACTTCCCCCAAAGCACGAGTCATGCGCTGAGCCGAGCTCCTCAAACACACACCTCAGAAGATGCACTTATTCACTTGTTTGCATGTGTTATTTATATACGTTGTCTGGGTAGTCAATTCTCTAAAGTCATCACATTTTGGAAAGACGAGCTATGTAAGATTTGGGGCCGTCTTTGACCAATGGTTACTGGACAATGGAACCACATTCCACAAATAACAGAGGTCTTTACCTGGGTTCCCCTGGGTCTTTATCAGGGTTCCCCTGATAAAAAGCAGATGTGGTTCATTTTCTCTTTCAGGCCTTTCCTGACATCAGCACCTCAACCTGAGCAGATATCCTGGCTGCTCAACAGGTGAGCTCATGGGTGTGGGGCCACCCACGGCCCAGGGCCACACACTCTGGGGCTCTTGCCTCCTTGGAGATGACACTCCGGGCTGCAAACACTCGATGATGCCTCCAGCTGTGCTGAGGCCAGTGTATGATCAGAGACACCTGGCACCACCCCTGGTCCTGACCACCAACTTCCCTGCTCCAGGCCACTCGGGGTCCCCACCCCCCTGAACACACTGGGGGCTGCACCACCCAGGGCCCAGGTGCTGACTTCAGCTGGATCTTGGCTCCAACCTCTACAGCAGGGGTGGGAAACGTCTGGCCTTCAGCCTGTATACAGCCTGAGAAATCATTTGGTCTGCCCTTGCCAAGGCATCTGCAGGAGGGACTCAAAATTCAATAAATCTAGGAGCTTTTTTCATAGCTGGTTTCTAAGTTGATAATTTTGTATGGCCCTCAAATGATATTGTAAATATCCAAATGGCCCTTGGCAGAAAAAGGTTCCCCATCCCTACTCTATAGGAACACGGGGGCTGAGAAAATCAATTGTGTTAATTGGCGAAGCCTTCCACAGGAGATGCTATCGGAAGAGAAAACGGCATGTAAAACACCAGCAGTGGCAAGCTCCCTGACATGTTTCTTTTGTTACACGGCCCTGGCACGTTTGTCCGGAGTTTGGGGGCTTTCAAACCACACAAGGTCTTATGTGATCGTTATAAAATCCCCTCTTTTCCCCAAGGCAGGGTAGTGGGGATTAAGTTTGACTACTGAAGACAGCTTTGTTGTAAATGGTCTCTCATGTCACAAAAGTAGCTGGGAGAGAGGCTTATTAAACACATTTCTTGGGCTGCAGTTCATTGGAAGCAATCACATGTCGTGTTCATTTGTTTAACCCGGAATGTAACTATTTGGATGTTTAAAGAGGAGATGCAAATGAACCTTGCGCCCACAGAGCAGAAGGGAGCGGGCTGATCTTGAGGACACCCAGGGAGGCCCGTGAAGAAGCCAGAGTGAAGTGAGGACACACAGCCGAGGCTGTCCACCTCTTGTGCCAAAGTCCTCCATGGGAACCCGTGTCCGGAGAAGAATGGGATGGCATTTGTTAATCCGAGATGGGAACCCCCAGAGCAATCTGTTGTCCGCAGAGGGAGAAGAGAGGTGCCAGCACAGCATGAGGCTGGCGCGCCCAGCCCGGGCCTCCTGCGGTGCTCCTTGCACACCTGGTGGGCTCCCAGAGGTGGCGCTGTGGTTGTGCTGCTTTAACAACGGGAAGTGCATGTGAGTGAGGTGCCGTGTGATGGAACAGGGGCCAGGCATGGGGGAGCTCTGGGAAAACGATTTCAGTTTTTGAAAATTACCACCAAGAAGGGGAGAATTTACCAGGAAGTGCCGGGAGTGTGGTTTTTAGTTCTGCTCCCTGGAGAGTCTGAGATTCCACGTTTCAGAGTCTTCATCTTTAGAAGGGCCAGTCCTTGGGCGGGGATGGTGGCCCGTCCCTTCCCCTTGGCTCTAAGACCTCCCTTTGGCTCCTGACCCCGGAACCCCTTATGAAGGCATCTGCAGTGTTCCCTCAAGCTCCCCAGCAAGGGTGACCGTGTCTCTCCAGCAGGCCCAAGCCCAGGTGCCTCACCTGGGTGCCACATGCTCCTCTCTCTCCCTCACCCACCCTCCCAACATCACATCATCCACCTAACGGGCCACACTGGCCTTTCTGTCCTGTGGTGGGAATCTGAGATGTGAATACTAGCTAGCCCTTTTTTATTAATAGCTTAGGAATTCATATTAAAATACTTTCAGATAAAAAGAAAAGTATGATTTATGCATTAATTGTGAAACTACAACACAGCACACTGGTCAGGACACCAGCAGGCCTGGTCCAACTTTGTTCTATTTTCCCCTTTCAGCTCTGTGGGGACCCAGTTCTGATCGGGCCCCATCAGGATACTGCCCTTGATGGGTATACCCCATGTGTGCACCTCACAAGGAGTAGATTGTTATAAAAATCCTTCACATATGACACAATTGAAGCTTACAGATGTTGAAAATTTCCTAAAGTTTCATAGTGAGTTAACAGAAGAGACCAGAACAAATGGCAAAGGTGTTTCCTCTCTCCTGTCACCTTACCTTAAATGCTGTGGCTGCCTGAAGCACAGCTGAGAAGGATTCTGAGGCTGTGTCCAGGTTCGCTGGACAAAAGGTCCCTTGATTCGACCACTGTGTAACCAGGATCTAGTGCACTCTCAGCCAAAGTGTGGCCTGCGTTGGGGCCTTGGGGGGATCCAGGGCTCCTCACAAACACTGGGCATCCTCTGAACAATGTTTTATCACCAATGTTAACACACTGGGTCATGCAAGCCACAAACACCAAAGTATGAATGTTGGGCAAATCCCAGTAGAGGAGTTGTGCACACTGAGAAGGCCAAGATTTCCTTCCTGTTAAGGAAACAGAACCTGGGCAGTCCACAGTACAGTGGCTTAGGACATGTGGGCCAGGGATGGGACCCCCCTGAAATCATCAAAAGGTGTGAGACCTCCATGAGCTGCAGGGGAGATACCACCCCCTGGGGTCATTATACCAATCCAGTTGGATACAATTTGTCTGTTTTGTTTGCTAGGGCTGCCTTAGAAGTACCACAAACTGGGTGGCTTGAAACAACACACGTGCTAGAGTTCACGTGTTGGGAATCAAGGTGTCTAGGGCCCCACGTGTTCCTGATGCTCTGCCAGCTGGCCGCCCCAGGTGTTCCTTGTAGATGCATCACTCCTGCCTTCCATCTGCACGTGGCCTGCTTAGAAGGACACCGGTCATGTTGGATTCAGGGTCCATCCCAGGATCTCATTTTACCTTGTTGCCTCTGTAAAAAGACCCTGTCTCCAAATGAGGTCGTATTCTGAGTACTGAGGGGTATGGATTCCAACATATCTTTTTGAAGGGAAACAATTAAACCCGTAGTAATGTCCACACAACACCAAGAAGTGCCTGGCACCCTTGTGCTCTCGGAATAGCAACTAAAGGGGGCCCAGGAGCTGGGGTGTGTCCAGGTCTCAGTGACCAGGCAGCATCTGAGGGGCCCGCGGCGGCCACCACGCACCGCAGGCACTCGGGGCTGACCCAGCCTCCTTGCTGGAGCACTAAGTCAGAATGGTGCCCTGCTGGGTGCTGCAGGTGCCTGCCCCATGGGGCAGCCCGTGCTCAGAGCGCAGCCACCCCAGCGCAGGCACCCGCAACATGTTCACTGGGTGCACCACCCCTGCTGGCAAGCGGCCAGAGGCGACACGGGAAGGGGCTGACGTTTGGTAAACTGAGGCCCGGAGGCGGGAAGGCCTGGCCCGCCTGGTATCTGCTGGGAGCGCCGGCGGAGCAGCGAGGCTGCGCGGAG